AATACCCTGCTTCGTGATCTCGGTATTATTTTGCCTATAATTAACCTTGCTTCGTGATCTTGGTTAATTATATTAATCTGTGTGAATTCTTATAGTTTCTGTGTGAAACTTCTAATATTTTGTGTGAATATTAGTTGCCTTAGTGTCATATTGTTTAAATCCCATATCCCTTTAAAAACCTCACACCTTAGCCTCTTTCGAACAAACCTGCAACCTCAAATCTTTTACACCTTATATTTTTTCAAGTATAAAACCTCCCAACTATAACATATTCGTCCAATTGCTTTGTGATCTTTTGGACTATAGTTTCCCTGTTATTAGTTGATAGTTAATCGTGTTTAGTAAAGGTAATCACGGTCAACAATTTGGTGGTGACTGTGAGATTCGATAATTTTTCCTAATATTCTTTATGAGAGCAAAGGCACGAAACGCTTGTGTTGAAAAAGTCATTGAGTTAAAAGACCAAGCTGTTTCTGAAATTGTTGAACGAGAATTAGCTAAACAAGAAGAAAATTCCAAATACGAAACTTGTTATACTCTTAAGGATCTAAATACTGTTAAAGACCACTTGGACCAAATTAAGCATCACGTGTAGATCTGAGACAACATCTTAATAGATAACGGACAAAACTTTTTTAATATCCAAAAAAAGGACAAATATGACTGGAAAGTTCCAAATTAAAAAGTGGATAATACTAATCGACATTCCCGAAGTCACTCGCAACCTAATACAAATATCAACACTCCCATTCCATCCATTCAATCCACACCTAGTAGAAGACACTTTTACCGACCATATCAAAATAGAGAAATCAACTGACCTAAATTCTCTTTAAGTGACTTATCACTTTGAACTTCACCTTCTCTATTGCCACGAGGCGGTAATTTAAGACCTATATCTCCAGTCTAATCGACCCAAACTAGATCACCTCCACCAGGCAGCAACCCTCAAAGTCCAAATCAAAGTATTTTTGAGATCAACGACGAAAGTGACGAAGAAGAGTATCGACCACTAGGAGAAGGATCCCGAACTAATAATAACCTAGAAAATTACGAAAGAATTATTATACAAGGATCAGCACACAATACCGAGAATAACTTTTCAGAAACTAGTGACTCTTCTGCATCTGAAGTTGAAATAAATATTAACCCACCTCAAGATTACGAACAGGAGGTTTTTGATAACTATCTTGATCAAATTGAATTTGAAGTTGAAAATAATAACAGTGAACCTGAACCTGAACCTGAACCTGAACTCGAACCACTACAAGAAATAATGGCTACAGTAGTAAAACCCACGAAATTTTCTGGTTCTAGTAAGGAAGACCCACAAGAATGATATGAAGACTTCTTAATGGCTGCTCAAGCAAACGGATGGAACGCCAATCGTAAGAAAGAAACTTTTGGAACTTATCTCCGAAAAGGAGCTCGAGATTGGTATCTTGAATGGACAGACGGTAATGTACATACTTGGGATCAACTTTTAGCAGCTTTTACAGCCAAGTATCTAAATAACGACTTCTGTGAACAATGGACTGAGGAATTACGAGGTCTTAAACAATGCAGAAGTAAGACTGTTGAAGACTACTATTATCAAGTTAGGCGAATGGCTACTCGAGCTGAACTAAATCCTACCGCTACTCTTCCTTACTTCGTTCGAGGATTACTACCTGAGATTAAGGCTGTAGTTAAGACACATGCTCCTGTTGACCTGGCTGAAGCCTTAACAAAAGCTAAACTATATGAGTCTGGAAAAATGGAAACGAAAAAGTCCCGAAAAAAGTACCGACAATATGAAAGTTCCAGTGACGAAAGTTCTGCTAGTTCAAGTAAAGAGGAAAAATCTAAAAGGAAAAAGAAAAATAAGGAGAAAAAGAAATTCTCTAGTAGTGACGAAATGGGTGAATTAATTAAAAGGTTTAATAAGTTGCAGATCAACTTAATGCAGCAAGTCGAAGGGTTAAACAAAAAAATTGGATATCAGAATCAGAGACGAACTAATAATTCCCGTGAATACTTCAGGAATAATAATTTCAACAATGACAATAATAACAGTAACAATAATAATTACAATAACAACAGTGGTTCACGCAGGTGTTATAATTACAATGAGGTTAGACATTTTGCTCGTGACTGTTTAGTTGAAAAGAAAACATACCCTCAAAATCAAAATAGACGAAATGTCAGTTATGTTGAATATGACAATGACAGTGAC